GTGGTTAGTGTCTGTTGACTTCGAAAGCGGATGAGAATACCCATATTCCGAGATAGATTATTCACCCACTCCTCCGACTATCCCAACGCCGTCTCAACCCCTCCTCCGCCGGCACCAGCGCGCGTGGCAAGCACCTCCAAACAGACACCGATAAGGATTTCGCTCAATAACTCCCAATCGCAGTCGCAGCTGCGGCTACACCCATCCCATCCTAGGGCCCGATCGTGATCGTCCCGCCGTCGCCCTCCTCCGCGTCCATATCACCATGGACGTGAACCCATCTGGGAAGCAGCAGGGGACAGGTGGTGCGTGCCCCTTATCTTTAAAGGCAGATGAGAATACTCACATTCTGGGATTATTCAAACCGCTCCGCCGACCTACCCAGCACGATCTCAGCCCCCGTCCCCACCGCTACCAGCGCGGGTGGCAAGTCCCCCCGAATGGATACTGATTAGCTCCTCCCCCAAGAATTCACAACCACAGCCGCAGCCGCAGCCGCAGCCGCAGTCACACTCATTCCAACTTCCGACGCGGCGCCTGATGGTGATAATCGCCCCCCTCCGCCCTACACCCGCCAGCACCAGCACCTCCTACAGCAGACATGTACACAATTTACCGGTCCTGGTCCGCGCCTTCCCCGCACTTCCGCATCCCACTCCTCAATCAAACCTGGCCGCACTGGACTACATGTTCAGCAGGTTCGCTGCCCAGCCACCTTCGATAATTGATCGCCTTGCGGGGATCCGTGCAGCTAAGGCTGCCATAAAGGGTGGACAGCAGCAGCTGTATGGACCACATCCGAGTCCGCTGCCGTCCCGACTGACGCAAGTGGAGGTGCCCCGCGAGTACGGCCATAGACTGGTCAGTGATGCCTATGAGCGGCAGTGGCGGCAGCAGCTTGGCGGCGGATGTCATCGGGGCAGCCGTGGAGGCGGAGGCGGAGGCGGAGGCAGTGTCGCTTCCAATGGAGGGGAGAAAGTAGCAGCTAGCGGTGCTGCGGGTACGTGCCAGTTGTAGATCGATATTTAATTGGCATAGGGATAGGGATGAGTTGAGCCACGGCCTGTTATCTAAGTCCCACTTTGCCTGTTGTATTAGGATTTGGGCGTCTCGTACTTGGACTGCTATTACCAAGTCTCTTGATTCTGCAGCAATCGACCGTTAAACCCCAATCTCACCATGTTTACTTTTGTTCGTAGTACAGCAAGCACAGTCAAAGATATTCTACTTTGGATGTTGTACTATACAATTCGCTTGTACGCCCAATGATACGATACCGTGAACAGAGGGGGCTTCGGAACCAGGTGAGGAAAACAGACGCTCAGCTCAACACTACCATCATCCCACGGGCATGAGGCTTCCATGAGGCCTACTGGCTTCAATCTTCAACTACATTCTCGTCGTCCGGGTCACTCACTTCTCTGACATGTCCGATTACTTGTCTACCACCACTTATCTCCCACCGATCGAGGAGTTCGGCCAACGTGCACCAGGTCGTGAGTCCTAAAGTTCCCTATCCCTGTTCTGTTCATTGTGACCAACTGGCGAATCAATAGAGTGCACTAACCTGAGCGACTCGGAGATACCACACTCACCGTTCCATATCCTCAACGATGATGTGCTTCTCAACATATTCCATCTCTATCAACTAGAGATCTCGGATGAATATGATGAGGATGGTGACCCTAACTTTTATTGGAGTGGCCAACGCTGGTGGTACAAGTTGGCGCAGGTTTGCCGTCGGTGGCGTCGTCTCATACTTGCGTCACCATCATATCTAGATCTTCACCTTCTATGCACCCATGGTGTGCCTATAGCGAACATGCTGGCACATTCGCCACCCCTGCCACTCGCCATCTATTATGAGGAAGATGGTGAGACGACTGAGGAAGATGAAGAGGGTCTTTTGCTCGCGCTCAGGCACAGTGATCGTGTGCATTATATCTCACTTAATTTACCATCCCCGAACTTGCGGAACGTCATCACAACTATGGATGAGCCATTCCCATTCCTGGAACGCTTGTATATCCTTTCTCGGACCGAAGGCGATACAAGCTTAGTACTTCCCTTAACATTTCAAGCACCGAATTTACGCCACCTTGGTCTGCTTCCCGCTGACCTTCCATTGGATCTCCAGTACTCACAACCGCTGTGGGCCTCGTCACTCTCGCGCTTGTAGATATTCCGCCATCTGCCTACTTCCCCCCAAGTTATTTACTGACCCGGCTTTCGCTCATGCCTCAGCTGGAGGTCGTCGTGATTGAATTTCATTCCCCTCTCCCCAACCGTAATGTTGAAAGACAACCGTTGAATACCCCGATTATGACGCACGTCACGCTTCCTAACCTTCGCAGGTTTTCTTTCAAGGGTGTCAGTGCTTACTTGGAACTTCTTGCTCGGATCCGCGCCCCTGTCCTCAGCAATCTCGACATTGTGCTTTTCAATCAACTGACCTTCACCGTCCCACGTCTCTTGCAGTTCATGGTCACATCGGAAATCCTCAACTTCAGCACCGTTCGGCTCGATTTCACAGCGGATGATTTTGTTTTGAGAAGGCATTACCAAGGGAAATGGACACCAAGCCCCTTCCACTTGAAAGTCCCTTGCAGTCACCTCGACTGGCAGGTATCATCCGCAGCGCAGATTCTCGGCGCACTTCATCCCGTACTCTCTGTTGTGGAGAAACTCACGCTCAGCCACATAAAGCACAATCGGTCGTCAGAGTGGCACAACGAGGTCGACCGCACACGGTGGCGCCAACTTCTCAGACCGTTCAGCAATTTGAAGACTCTTCATGTGCAAAATGACCTCGTTGGAAAGCTTGTTCCTTCTCTACAAACTGACGATGGAGAGCTACCGCTGGAGTTCCTTCCTAACCTGAGTGAGATTGGATATTCTGGAGGAGACGATGCTCGGGACGCATTTACCCCATTCATCGACGGACGACAGGTAGCAGGACACTCTGTGAACCTGACCATGGTCAATGATTCAGAATTTTCGCCTTAGCTGCGGCCGTAAGCCAGCGAGCGGCCAGATCGACCGTGACATTCGGAACATAGTATGTCGTTATATATCTGTTCATCTCCCACCAACATACCAATTGTCCTTATCAACAGCATAGTTACCGAGGAGATCGCGACACTGGCTGAACTTGAATCTTCATAGCTATCACCTACCTCTTCGTTTCCATTCCATCCCCGCACGCTCTTCCTTTCCTTTCTACAACCGTAATTTTCGCCACCCCCCTTCTCATCCACTTTCCTCGATGTTCGCGTTAGTCATGCGTACATCTTATCCCATCTCGTTCTTGTTTGAGATAGAATGTCATTTCACCCTCATGTATGTAACTACGGCTGCTTATATGTTTTTCTCCCTTTGCATAAACGTGTGCCTCGTACGTAGCACGTAACGACTGCTGTGGTATCCGTTTTGCGGAGTAATCAAGTTCCCTCTGTGTGAAACATGACGTTGTCGAGATTGTCCTACAACGACAAAAGCCACGGTGCCACTGGTTGCCCTTCGGTGGCGGCATACTGTACACCGCTTCAATCCGAGGCATGTAAGGATGCCACCCATACAGATGCAAGACGTCGATATCTATGAAAGAAAGGACAACACTGGTCCCGACACGCCTCCCAGTGATTTCGGTTTAGTCTGCAGGAGAGGCCGGGGAGATGTGAGTGGTCAAGTCGCGTCAAAGTGTGCCAATTCAAGTTTCAAGTTCTTCTCGACCTAGTGATCCGCTGGCTACCACACGCCAGGCGTGTCACCTTATGCTGCCTCTCCACTAGCATTGTGCCTCGTGCGCAAGACATTTACCCTCCAGTTCTCCGTTTCCCGCAGCAATATCAGCGGTTCTAGCTCAGAGGCCAACCGCCTCCCTTTAAGATATCAACGCGAGGTTGACGTGTCGACCCATATAGACTCGGGAAAGAGAACCCCCACTGAACGCAATCTTGTATTACATTGGGTGGATGCGTGATATCCCTGAGGTCCGTGTTTTCTTCTTCCTTCCTATCATCCTGTTCCGCTTTTCGGCGCCACCACTGAGGCGAGTGTATGCGTAACGAAGGTGATAATGTCGGCGTAGAGAGAGACGGATAGTGCGAGAAGGGGATCGAGCCCACCAACAGGACAAGCTCGCCGACTGGCTGGCCAGGACGCGGGGGCGACTTGATCCGGCATCAAAGAGAGCATAGTTCGCACATACGAGCATCATCGACCTGATTCTACCTCGTCTCCAGTCGCGGGGTGTCCCGCAGCCCGCAACAATATCGCCGATAACCCTCGGGACGATGGCCCTATTCGAGTTGAGCTTCATGTAAAGCTGTCGGCCCCACCGCTGGTGGACACATTTTCCTGGAGAGATTGAGCGAGGCGGCTGTGGACCGAGTGTCGCGGCAGACGGGTAGTGGTGCGTGCTCTTTGATTTTGACTGGTGGACGAAAATACTCACATAGCGCCATAGATTATTTACCCCCTCCGCCGGCTAACAGTGGGCCATCCAAACTGGCGTGTCTAGCACCGATGTGCGCGGAAAGCACGCTTCAACGCACATCAATCGGTTTCTCCGCCAAAAAATCGCGATCGCAGTTCCAGCCGCAACCACCATCCCAACCCAGACGTGTGCTTGTCCCGCCTCAGTCGCCTCCCACGTCAACAGCGGCCCGGTAGCCTCCTGTGACACTCTTTCCCAGACACCAGGGGTCGACAGCCTTGCTGTGACCCGGTAGAGGCGCAGGTGCTCCACCGAATTGCGATTGCAAATAGGGACCCTAATGAAGCCCACGAGCAACAGTGCCAGCGCAAGCTCTGGTGGCGAAGGCTGAGATTTGGGTGGAAGCGTCAATGGTAAAGGTGGTGACAGAGGACGGAAGTAGTATCTGTCAGCTCATTGTCTTGTCTCTGCTTGCTGTTCCCACGAACGAACGGAATCTGACTCCTGTTTATTCGTGGTCTCCCTGACTGGCTCTGTATTCATCGGTAATACTAGTTGTCGCGCCTGCTTAGCTCAGTGGTAGAGCGCGTCACTTGTAAGTCACGTGGTTTACCACATGATCTGCATGACGAGGTCAGTCGTTCAAACCGGCTAGTTGGCATTTTTTTCCACTGGGTTGTACAACAAAAACCTAGTAGTGGTCCCGAGATACAATGGATTCGTCACGGGAGTTCGCGTCTGCGTCATATGGATCCAAGCAACTTCTGGATATCCTTCTCGCGCTGCCCAATGCAGTGGAGCCTGGTTATCCACATCTGCGTCGCGCTCTAGAAGGGACTGAACAACTTCTAGGTGTCTCCTATATGACATCCGATTTAATTGGGTCAAGCCGTCCTTGGTCCGGGCACTCGCATAAGTCGCATTTGCACAGCCCTCGAAAAGGACCCGAACAACTTCTAGCTGTCCTTCTTTCCATTCGGTAAAAGTGTCGCCCTCGATGAACCATGTCGCGGTTCCGTCATGGTGAGCATCGCACGCAATATTGTGATTTTTCCACGGATCTGCAGGAGAGAGCCAACGTCGGAAGTCTCGCAGCATCTGGTCACCTGTGAGGCAGTCTCAGCTCTCATAGTCAGAAATGAGTAGTTGGGGAATAACATAACTGACGTTTTGTCTTGTTCGCTTCGCTCGTGATTTGTTGCATCACCCTCTAGAACACAGTCAGATGTAGTACCTACTTATTCTTGCCACCAAACATACCTAGAACATTCCGGACCCCATCTATCGACGCCTTGCCGTCTAAAGGCGTAGAGGTTCGGAACAAAGCAAGTGCCAAACCGAGTAGGATTTACTCACTGTCCATGACGGTCTTCATATTCTGGACAAGACCGCATACGACCTCGAGTGTCTGCGTTGCAGTTGCCCGAGCCTCATCCAAGGTTAGCCTATCCGGCCCTTGCAACGCAGCGCCGACCTCAAAAGCGATTTCTCTGCGTGTGGTTCGACCCTACGACCACCCCGCGGCGACCCCTCTCTCCAGCGGCGGGCCCAGCTGTACTCACATCGTAGTGGCACCGGAACACTGTCATGGGGACGGACAGCGTCCAAGGCCCTTCTGCCGCTCGTGCTGCTCACCTTACGTAACTGCGTTTCCCATCCCGTCGCGAGACGAGCACAGGAGCTCGGGCCGTTCCAACTGAGACAACAAAGTTTTAGTGGTGGGAAAAAAATATGCCGACGCTAGTGCCCGAGGTCGTGGTCCGCGAGGCGTGACGCCGTGGCGCAAACTTCGCGGAGGGTGCGAGGCCCCCAAAGAGCGCCGCGTGGGCGGGGGTAAGCGTCCCTACCTGGAGAGGAAGTTGGAAGCGACCTTCGAATGTCGTAGGTTGTTGCGTACATGCGGTCGTCCCAGCAGGTATCAGTGCCAGGAGGCGCTGGTTGTTTGTTGACGAAGGCGTTAGGAGGTAGCGTAAGACCACTTCTCGCAACGGTGGCACGCGAAAATGAAAATGCACACGTGTGGCGCCACCCACAGCTTCAAGTTCCGGCGCGTCTCATGTCGCGGGGTTCGCAAGGTCTGGATATCATGGGTTTAAACGGATGTTAGGCTCGTGAGGGTCATGCCCGTCATTTTTGCAGGGGGAAAGACGCAGATTGATGTTGACCACATCGAGGTCTTTGAGCGCATATAATTCAGCATTTTCTCGAGGGAGATATTCCAGGCTGTTGTTTCCTATACTCAGGGCATCACTACACGAACTGAACAGAGTAACGGCACACGAAGGGAGAATACAGTCAGATCACTCGATTTAAAGAATAGGAAAGGGTTTGATCTCCTTGTTTGATGGAAGGACCATGAGACCATGAGATCATGTCCGGGCTGGGGCTATGTGATGTGTAGAGAATGGTCGATGTAACGTCAACCCCCGACCCACTACCATAAGAAACATCCGAATCGTAAGAGACGCAGTCCAAGAATATACTGGAAACCTGGAAACGGATGAAACCCTATGAAAGGGTACCAGAAACCGCAACATACGCACCCACATACAACAATTCCTATACAAATCCCTCCACGGCACCCAGAAATCGGTAACTTCTGGAGCAACGTACCAAAATACGAAACGTGTCAGCACTGCAGCACATGTGGCGAAACTGAGGCAATGGACCACATACTCATCCACTGCAACGCAACACCGCCCAGCATAATCTGGAACCTACTAGTAGCCAAAAACACGTGGCCCCACCGCCCTCACCTCTGACCGGAAACCTCCATTGGGACCATCCTAGGATGCGGCAGCATCAATCTAGCACCTGAAGAAATAGCGCAACCTGGAAGTAGTGATGCCGCGGTCCGGTAACCGTGAATCGGTTTTGGCTTTTAATCAGCCTCCCACATAGTGAAATTCCCCATTGAAGGCCAGAGTAGGATTGTGTGACACAAAAACCGACGCAAACAGCCAGTTTCCGGCCTCGACGGTGTGGCGGTCGCGGTCTTTGCCAACCTAACGACTCGAACCGCGGCATCACTACCTGGAAGAGAAAACGCGCTCCGAGAGAATGCCCCGAGAGGGGCAGCACGACTGCTTCAAATCCTTCTTTCTGAACCAGCCCACCTTATCTGGGTCCTATGGTGCGAAAGAGTCATCCAAGACCGCACACACACCGTAAGCGAAATACACCACAGGTGGCTCAGCACCATCAATGCAAGACTCACGACGACAAAATAACCGCCACGAAGATCAGGCGTGACAAGAGAACCACCCAGACAGTCAAGGACACCTGGGAACATGTCCTAAGGAACCAAATGGACCTCCCTGATGACTGGATCACCAGTCGTGAGGTTTTAGTGGGTAAGACACGGCGCACCTAGCCTGACGGACACGTGACCTGAGCCCCACACCACACTATCCCCAACCGCAACCGGGGATGGGATTTGCGTAAATGCATTTCACCTCCCTCGGACATCGGTCCGGCTTCAGCGTGTTAGGTTAGGATTGATCCTGATCCTGGTTATCTCCCCTGCCCAACAATTATTTTCGGTAGACAATACATAGCTAACTACGGAAATAAAACGCTTTCCAAAAAAAAAAAGAGAATGATCGATGTGGAGGAGAACACTATTGAGGTTACGGTCTGTGGCGCTTGAAGGAGCGCTGAGCTAAGTTGAATGACGGCGCCCGGCCCAAGGTTCTTCCTCGGGTTTAAGAATTTCTGCTTTTTTGATTATCGATATCAATGCTCTATCATGAACAGCTCATGCAAGCGTGTCTTTATTAACACAAAGACCGCGGCACACCTTACAGTTCTTGGCAGTATGCCTTAACCACTTTCCCAAGGCGTTCCTTGATCCGATCTTGGTTAATTTTATTCTTCTGACAACCTGAGAGCACATGTCCAGGCATCTTTTGGCGTTGTAAGGTCGGCGTGGGAAGATCAACAGAACCGCCTCCGCTAAGGACGCGTCACGGTCTCATCACTTTTGCTTGGGTGTCACACTTTCCCCAATCCTCATCGCTGACTCGATAAAAAAACTGTATGGGGTGATTCAAATAGTCTCCCGAGCAAATCATTTCACATCCAGGTGACCCAGCAATAATTGACAAAAATCAGACCTTCTCATAATTCCTATGGCACAGATTTCTTTGGGATAGACATAATCTTTGGTAAGAGTCTCAGGCACAGATGTATATACTCCTAAAATAATTACGACAGGATCGAGTAAAATTTGCAGAAGTTTCCTTATGAGTATCTCAGAGACCCACAGAACACTGTACTTGGTCTGAATATGCTTTTTGCCTTGATGAACGATCGTGGCAGTTCAAGTGAATGCCCTCACCTCATTCGGATGGGCGTAGGACGGTGGCGCTTAAATATGCTCCCAAGAACCCATATGCGGACTGCGGGCCATAAATAAATCAAATCAACGACCAGGTCCTGTCCCCAAATCGTTGCCCCCAAGTCCCACAATTGTTTCTAGGTCGCAGCAATTACCTTCGGAGCGATGCCACCGGAGCACGATCAAGAATATAGACTAGAGTCTTGTACCCCCCACGACCCAGGGCAGGATACTATTGTCTCTTCCAAATTGACGTCCCTTCGGCCTTCCGCACCACCCCCTTACAGTAGTCCCCCAAAGCCCAACGTTCCAGAAGACCCATATGCGGTCACTCTGAAGCCTCCTCAGCTGGCAGGTCGTCTTGAGGCACCACGTCGGCCACTACCCGCCCTACCAGAAGCGGAAATGGCTACCTTTGTAGAGCCATCCATTTTTCGCATGTCGCAGCCAATATCTCGGGTTCAAGTTGCTGGTTCACCCCCACCTCTCCCCCCCATCACCTCTTCGCCCTCCATGTACTCGTTATCGCCATCTCCACTCGGTAGCTCTTCAACACAGATATCTCCTGTATCCAGAGCACCCGCACTTTCAACTTTCGTTCAACATTCCGCCCATTTAACAGGCTTAAGTTGTCCAAAGGGACTCGCAATGCGACGGCACAGATTACAGATGCTGCTCGGCAAGCAGCCGAAGAAGCCGCACGAAAGCAAGAAGAGGAAACGGCTCGCCAAGCTGCAGCGTGGGATGAAACAAAGGAGGCTGTCCGATCTAGCATCCTGTCTCTGTTATTTAGTCCTTCATCTGACGAGGAACGCAAATCTGTTTTCTCCACGTGTATTCGGATTTGCAAGAATGGGGGTCTGAAATTCTCCAGAGTGCTACAGGAACCGCTCATAGAGGGACAAACTCCAGTCTATTGGGCTATCCTCAACAGGCCCAGGGCATCATCTCAAGATGACAACGCGGCTTGGGATGCCCTCGTAGTCGCCCTCTTGGACGAATGCGGGTCTCTTAGCGAGACTACCGTCACTTCAGTTCGCCTTGCGTGCATGCTGACGTCGAACAATGCTCTTCTCCAATACTTGTTCTGGCATTTTCGGGCGCTTTCCCCACTCTCCTCCAGTGATATTATGATGTTGCACCCCCTAGGCGGAGGGGACGCCGTCGATGTGGAGGAGACGCAAGACGGTACAGGAACATTTGTTGCCCATATCAAGATGCGGCGATTCCGGATGCGAATGCGTGTGTCCAAGTGCGTTAAAGTCGAGTTCGTCACGTCTGGTAAGCCTATTTATACTGTCGTCAGAAAGACATCTGACTAT